GATCGTGGGAGGCACTGGAGGGTGGAGGGGCGGGGGAGAGGCAGGTACCCCGTGGCCTCCGTTCTGGGGCTTCTGTTTCCCTCTCCCTAGGTGCGACCCTCCCTTCCCCATCCCACGGTCCCCCAGAGCTCAGTTATTCCCCAGCAATTCTCACCTCCACAAATCCTCCCACCTCCCGGGTCTCTACGGAGTCTCTCACAACTCAGAAAAAGAGCTAAATCATCCCGACCTATTCCTCTGTTCCCTTACCCCAACATCACTCCGTGTGGGGGATTCCGCCTTTTAAACAATTCTAGCAACATCTCCTCCCTCGATCTCCCCTTTCCTGGCCGCTGATCCTGCTCTAGTTAAAACCACCACCCTCTTTCTGGAGTGTTACCACAGATTGCTAGTCTGTAGCCCCAACATCTGGGTTTTAGCAGGACCAGGGCCAGAATAAACACTGCATCTCCCAGCCTGCCTGTGGCTACCATGTGCCTTCATTCTGGCCAGCTGGATGTGATGGAAGGCAAGTGTCTCTAACAAAGAGAAGTCCTGCCACGCTTCTCCTGTCTGCACGCTGGAATGCAGGCTGGAGGCTGCAGCTGGAGCTGCCACCATGGAAGAGGCGGGAGGCGCGTGCTAAGGAAAACGGAACAGCAAGACAGGACAGAGTGTGGGGCCCCGGGGACTTGGTGCAGCAGAGCCGCTATTCCAGCCTGGACTGCTCACTTTTGCTTGAAGAAAGAAATACACCGCTAGCTTATTCGAGCCACTTTTATTAAGAGTTTTCCTGTTATTCATAGCCAAACCTAATCCAACCCAGCATAATGCCCAAATGGAGGGTCTTTTAAAGGGTTCCATGGGTCCCATCCTGCATCACATCAAACGAATTAAAAAGTCCTACATTAAATGTAAATTGCAAATAACTCTACAAGGCATGCTGAGATCCAGTTATCTAGTTAGCATAATTTATACTCTATAAACATTTATACATTTACTGGCTTTAATTCTGCAGCTTTCCCTTTGTATTTTGGCGCCAATTAATTTATTTTTCCAGGTCTAAACCGTTTCCACAGGCCCTTATAAAGCTTCCATGCCTTGCCCTGGCTGGGTGGCTCAGCTGGTTGGAGGATTGTCCCAAAAGGTCTCCTTCAATTCCCAATGAGAGCACATACCCAGGTTTCTGGCCCAATCCCCTATAGGGGTGCATACAGGAGACAGCCAATCAATGTTTCTCTCTCTCCCTCTCCCTTCTTCTCTCTCTAAAATCAGTGAAAAAACATAGCCTCGGGTGAGGATTAAAAAAATAATAATAAGCTTCCATGCCTTAATTAGGGTTATGAACCAAATGGAGGAAATGGCCCTGTGCTCCATTGGTTTCCATTTATAAAACATCCCAGCTCCCAACACTTCTTCACCCCACAGTCCTTCCCCCTTTGAGGCGGCACTGCCCTCAGGTTAAAGCTCAAACTCCTTGGCTCTGTAAGGGAGGCCCTGTGCTCTGGCCTTTTCCACCCCAGCCTCATCTCCCCTCTCCTTTCCTGTGTCCCAGCCATGGGACCCACTTGTAAGGAATATACTCCCTGACAAGCCAAGTCTCACACCCCATGGGGGTTCCCCATCCCTCCTCTCCTGGGCTCCTCCCTCCCCGCAGCAAATGCTCACATGGAGCATGGCTCCTCTCTGGCCACCTGGGACTCCTCGCATGTCCCCAGGATGCTCTGCAGACCCTGCCTTTAGCTCCCTTTCTAAGGTTTGCCCTTCCAATTCCTGCTTTACCCCAACAGATGCCTCTCCCAGCTGGGCATCGGGCTCTGAGATGGGCTGTGGCGTTTGTGTCTGGGTCCCCAGCTCCCCACCCAGGGCCGGCACACAATGATTGGTGAGATAAGTTTACGGAATCTGTGGAGGCCTGGCCCATTCATAAAGGCCCCGCTCAGAAGCATTTCCTG